TTTTTACAGGATCACAACTGTAGTACCAATCATCAGGTCCATTGACAAATATGAGCTCTTTAAAATTCATGCTTTGCCTATTGCTGAAGATACTTATATGGGAGCACCTAAATGGAAGCAAGCCCTTTTGAGGCACTCATATCTTTTATCTCAAGGCTCAAAACGTTATGGTTTAAATTCTCTTGATTTACTTATATGCTTAAATCAACTGGGACAAGCTGATTGTAGGATCGGCAGATTTAACAGACATCCTTCCCAAGAACTAGACCCCTGTGTGTCATCAATTCAAAATGGTGAAAATGAATCTACAATTAAAGTCAAATGTCCTTTAAAAAAAAATTAGCACTCCTAGCAACACTGTTGTGCAGCTGAATAGTGATGAATTTGCATTTGTGGACAATGACAAGGAAGGATCACTCAGTACTGTTCTGGTTCCAAGAATTCTAGCATACCTGCATCTGAAAATTCTTACGAGCTACCTTATTCTGGAATTCTTCAATTCAAGCCTAATTGTTGCTATACAGTTGTGAATGGTCCTTTTACTGATGTGCTGCCTAAACTTGAGAATATTGAGATTAATGTGGTGCAAGAAATACCTGCTGTCATGTCAGGGATCCATCAAATTTTCTCAGACATCAGTGAGCTACAAATTCACTTCAGAGACTACGGTTATATTTATATGATTGTGTCAGTCTCATTGTTGCTCATTATTCTACTGTGTCTTATTTATTTATGCTATGCCAAGATTCGGTATGTATTACAGATTAGGAGGTCCTCTCCTTCTAGAAGATCTGATGCTGCTCAAGCATCTGTGAGATTTATCCAGTCTCCTACTCCTAAGCCTGCAATTTATCCTAGATTGGAGATGGACTTTTCCACAGGAATCTTGTCCATTTGCTGATCACTTTCTGAAAAAGAAATTCGGCTGGAAAAGACAAACAAAAAAGAGAATCAGAGGCCAGAAATTCTTTTTACAATTTCTCTATTGCCAAGGACTCATATAAAACGCGGGTACGAAAATGGCACTCTTTGTTTGACGCGACTTATATTTTACGCGTTCAACATTTCTTTGAAAGGATTAGTGTCCTCGAGGAAAAACTCTTCCTCTCTCTTTCCTTTGACGGGTTTATCCGTCTCTTCCAGCCCCAGCAGATCCACCACTGGTTGGGCTTCCGGATCCTGCTGATCCTCTGGCATCAGCATCTGCACCAGTTCCCGCATGTACAATGACTGTACAAAAAGAGAAAAGAAAAGGCCCCAAGCAAAGCATAAAAAAGTATTGCATGCGCTGCTTTGTCTCTACATGTTATTATTCACCTTGCCTGAATGTTGAAACTCTTGGAGACCTAGCCCTGATATCTGCATAATTCTGAGAGAAAACTTCAAACTCTTCATCATCAGAATCTAGCCCATTAAAAAATACATTGGGCATAGATCCTACCATACATTCTTTAACTTTAGCTTTATCCAGCTTTAGGATTCTTTTCTTCCTCTATATTTACAAGCAGGCACAGAAAAGCAAAAGCAACATAGAAGCAAAAGCATTGTTAATCATTTTGTATTAAAGCAAAAGAAAAATTGGTTAACCTTGTTCCTGATGAACTTGACCAGCCAAACCAAAAAGACAGCCAGAGACATGGCTCCAGCCCCTCCAAGGCCCATAAAGACCAGAACCATGGCCGTCCATGGGTCCACGTCCGCCTCGAAGTGCGCAACACCATGTTTGATGTTGACCGTCACCTCCGGTGTCAACGATGGTGCCCTGATGACATGTGGCACCTCTTGGGCCACTACGATGCTTTGTTGCGTCAAGGGCGGCGCCCGGACCATGAACGGCGTTTTGCTTGCCGGCACGTGGACGACCGCCAGGTTGGCCGTCGGCGCCACTGGGCAAGGCTCATCTGTATATACAAAATATTTTTTAACATGTTGTGAAGGAAAAATTTACTTTGGTTTTGGTACAGGTTTTGGGCATGTGTAATGTTGTTGCGTATGAGTTGTGTTCTGAAATGTTCATGTTTGCGTGGAAAAGCTGAAAACAACTCACCAACCACCGGCGGAACTGCCGCCGTCAAAATCTCCAGTTTGGGTGACACAACTTCCTTGCACCACCTCCAAGGCATCACGACACAATCCATGTCGGTTTGACGCCCAATGCAGACCGTCAGCGACAGCAGCTTCACCTCCTGCAAAAACAAAAAAAGTTGCTAATTCTGCTACAAACACTGTCCAAAACTCACCTTGAGGTCCGCCTGCCTGACGCAGTCCAGGAACAGCATTGCCCCGACAAACGTCAGCTGACGTCCGTATCTGCCGGCGCCCCTCACTTCTTTGCCGCAAACGTCCCGACACAGGAACACACGGGACCGCAGTCCACTGTTGTTCCTTTTTTTTTGCGGGTCTTCGGGACCGCAGTCTGCTCCAGCAACTGCAACACCAACAATCAGCAACACCAGCAGCCTCAGGAATGCCATCTGTGAAAATTTTCAAAAACTGTTACTTCTGAAAAAAAATTTTTTTTTTTGGGGTTTGGGACTCACTTCTCACTTGTTGGAGTTTTCTTTTGAAGTAATTGAAGATCCCCAACAGCGCAAAGTCACTAGCCAAACAAACGATTTGCAAAACAATGTTTGAGGCCACCAGCTCCAGGAGACCCATCAACTTCCAACAATTTTGTTCGACAGGAAGTCGTTACGACGCTGCGTCGTTTGAGACGAAAATCGTTAAATTAACAACCAAAAAATATGAAAAAATTAATATAAGTTAACAATACTCACCAAAGAGTACCGCCAGCATTTCATGCCCAATGGATCATCCGTTAACAAATGGCACTCAATGCGAACTGAAGAAGATATTATCATTCTTCTTGATCCAAACATCTGTCGGATTCATGCCTGATTCCTCCTGAGGGTTGGTAATAACAATTGCCATTCCCATAAGCCATAAAGGCTTTATGAAAGAAACAGCAACGGAAAATAGGGCACTGTCGCACAGAGTCTTGCACTTGGTTCACTTGTTGTTCCTTTTTTTTTGCTGACTTCCGCAAAAGGATGGAACCTTTTTTTTATTTGTGCGGGGTGAGTTTGTTATCTTAGAAATACAGTAATTTACAGAAGACCCTTTTTGGTAGTTTCAGAAGAAACCTTTTAGAAAGCCTAGAAACAGGAAATTGCTAAAGCAAATATGATTACTGCAATTTCCTTGATGAGAAGTCTTGACAACTTCTCATGACAAGTTACAATAACCTTCCTAGAGTAATTAAAATACAATCAATCCTGAAACCCTGGTGGGCTCAACTCTTTACGAAATTCGAGTGATATTCGGTTCTCTTGTTCTTGTTGCGCGTGGTCATTATCACTGATGTGTAACCAGCGCAATTATATTTCACTCAGAGCAATTTCTACCTTGTTCATTTCACGGACCGGGATTTTCGCTATTAGGGTCGCGATGATTGTTTCCTTTGTTTCCCTCATCTAGGCTGGCTAGGTTTAAATACCCCTGCTTGGTGAAATCTCAAGAGAGATCTCATCCAAGCTTCATACAGTAAACTTCATAGCCAAAGCTCTGTTAAAGCTCAAACCTATTTTGAAGTCAAGTACAAGCTGGACTTGTGTGTATGTGTATTTGTATTGTTGTATTGAATGTTTGTACAGTTGAACCCCGTTAAACCGCCCCCCGATTAACCGCCACCCTTGCTTCCCGCCACTTTTTCTTCTGCAACCAATCTTCCCTAGCTTGAAGGGATGGGAGAACCCCGTTTAACCGCCATCCGCCAACCGCCAATGTTTTTTGCCAAACAAACAGGATTTTGGCACTGTTCTTTACCCTGATAAACCGCCAACTTTTCAAGGTTTTCTTTTTCTTAGTGATATTTTTCAAGATTCCATTTCTCATGCTTTTTTAATTCTTTCAGGATGATGAGAAGTTCTTCAAAGTTGGTTATTTCAGGTTGAGTTCATTTAGGTCAGATTATATTAATTTAGAATGGATTAAATAAATGTGTTCTTATTCTTTTTGAATTTCCTTTGACTGAAACCTCAACATGAGTCTTTTCTGTTGTTTAAGATGGATTGTTTGAGATAGATGACCTAAAAAAACCAAGCATGGAAGAACAACCCAATGAGGTGGAGGCTTGTAAAGAAAAAGCAAATCACAAGACAATCAGGAAGAAACACTACTATAGAAGCAAATTTGAAAATATTGAAATTTTAAATTTTAGTAAAACTTTGGCTCATATATTTGTATGTGATGGCTTTACTCTTGTGAATTTTGCTGGTGAGACAAAACAGAATGATTGTGTAATCCAGCAGCATAAGCCAAAAATCATTCCTACCAGCATTTGCACTGTACTCCCCTCCATCTCAATATTTTTGTCTTCCATCCTTCAATTTTTGATGACATGCAAAATGAATTTCTACACATTCTTGTACAGAACTTAATTCAAGAAAAATTAGCAATAATT